TTATGATTTTAATTTGATGTAAGCCGCCCAGAGTCCCCCATTGTGGGGAGATGGGTGGGGATAAGTCTATTAAATAAAAAATAAATAAAATAAAACTTACAGTTTAGATCAGTGTATTTGCCCTCAAGAGCTTGCACATATGCTTCATACTGCTTCCATCTAACAAAGAATGAAAAATATTTCTGAATTGCATATACAATCAAAAAATAGCAGTACTGTATATGATCAAACCCACCATAGAGCTTTCATTAAGTATTTTTTTCAATTACCTATGATTATAACATACTGTACATATGGTCTCATACTAAAAACACCCTAAGCAACTACAGGAAACATACACCAACAAATTTCAAATTGTACTCTGCCTTCCAAAAATCATTATGCTTTCTTTTGGTGGATTTGCACATCATCTTAAGCCAAAAACAAACTACATAATTACCTCAATGTGTGAGCCAATGCAAAGGCAATATTGTTTGAACAGGTTTACAGTAACATTCTTTAATAGTTTTTATGTTTTGAGTCTCTTCAACTCTGGCTATTTTGATTACTTTTAAAAACACATACATTCCCACCACACTATTCTTTTTCAGGGAATAAGCAATGTTATGGAAAATACAGAAAAGGAGTAAGAAAATAAAAAAAGTAAAATAAAGACATAACTGAAAAAAACAAAAGATGGCTAAATCTAGTCTACAACAAAACCATTTGCCATATCTCCCCATACCTTTCTATCCTTGCAAACTATATTAAAATGATTTCAATGGCTCAGTGAAATTGTTAACTGCTTTTAGTCTATTAGGGCAGATGGGGCAAATGTAATTCTATAAACAACTGGCTCAAGGCCACTCACTAAATTCTAAACCGAATTTAGATTTTTCCCATGCCTGTTTAGCCCAACCCAAATATATATCCAAACATGCACATATTCTTAGCTTTAAACTAAATTCAGGTATGCAAAAAAATGACAGGTTCCTACACCTGTATTAAACCACTGGTTTTGGCTTAGTGTGATGTGCAAACTGTAAAACTGTGCTTTTTAAAACCATGCTTCATAAATTATCATTATGCATGAGACAAGTCATTATGAGTTATTGGACGAATCCTGATTAATAAAAACAATAGCTTAGTGCAATATGTAGATCTAGTCACTATGTACTATACATGGGTAAAGGGTTTCCTTGAATAAAGCTTCATTCCTGGTGACTTCATAGACACATCCATATAGTTTTCTTCAGCAAAGACAAAGAAGTGGCTTGTCACTGCCTTCTTCCAGTTTATTTTTTTCCAATCTCCTCATCTAGCAATACCTTAGATTTCCTAGCAGCCTTCCATTCAAATACTAACCAGGAGGACTGTGCAGTGCTTCAGATTTGATTTAGAAAAGGTGCTTCAAAATATGCTCGTTGTTTTCAGGCCTGCACTTCAGAAGCCTGCCTGCAGCAGTTGTGCAAACTCAGAAAACAGCACAGCTGCTTTAACAAGTTACAGAAAGATCCTGCATTTCTGAACTCACATGTTTCAAAGGACCTCTTTCAAACTGAATCCCACTAACACTGATTTTTTTTAGAGATTAGCCAACAATGGCTACAGGCCATTTGTGATCAAAACAGTGGGGGTTTGAATCAGATTACTACTGGAATGCTTACATTTCTTCTTTCTGAAATTTCTTCTTAAATCTCAATGAATCAAAAACTACAAAAATTGGTATTTTAAGTGTTTAAACTTAAAACACCTGCTTTAGCTTAATTAAACTCTTTAGTATTTTCATATGCAAAAATGGTTTAGTATTAATCCTTGTAATTCAATAAGCTACTGTAAAGATCCAAGTTATTCTATGTAAGATATGAGAAATGCATTTTTTACTATGAGATAGACCATTATTTTACCTTAAGATCAATTCCTCTCTAGGCAGAACCTTGAAGTCTGTTTCACTGAGACGGGCCTGCACAAAAATAATTGCATTGAATTATTTCATCTAGCATTGGCAAGGAAGAATAATACTAGAGTACATGTTTCCAGATTACCTTCTTTGGAAGTGGTTCTTCATTAGTCATTGTGAACTCTGTAGAAGAAATAACACTATTGTTATTTCACCCTCTTACAAGTATAACTAAATCTGTATACAACATTAAAGTACAAAAGTTCCAATCAGTTTGAATATATGTAGTACATTTTTGATAACAGCTTTGGAACTTAGTAAACATTTTAATTTCAACAATTTACATATATTCACTGTAACTCCTGAGAAATGTATCAGTTAAGCCCTATTTAACTCTACATCGTAAAAATAATCTGTTCCTTATTTTGTGAATAGTTAGATCTCAAATTTCTTTATTTTCAACAATACTGAACATTTAAATCCTTTCTGGGAATGCATGAACATACATGCAAGTTCACTACTGTTTGTGTAAAACAGATTTATCCAGTTATAGGTAACTCTTATTAGATTTATTGTTTTTGCTGTTTATTTCAGCAAGTAACCAACCCAGGCTCATATCTGACTTTCAAATATTACTATATATTTTTCTGCACTGCAAAATCAATTCAGTAGTAGAAACATACACTTTTCACAGTAGTAGAGAAAACATTTTGGTCAAAGTTTTAGAACACTAAGAGTTAGTTGTAGTGATCAGTATCAAACCATAATGCTGAAACCCTAGTTTCACCAGATGAGGCAGTCACTATTTTTCAGGCTAATCTATTTCAGAGACTGTTGCAAAGATGAAAGAATGGTAACAGGCATGCAGCAATTAACTGTTGTTTTATATATTGGCGTATAAATTCAACCTGAGGATCCTATCATTAATGTTTTACTTAAATTATCAGCAAAGAGGGAATAATTTTGTTAAATTGCAACCCCCCCAAAAAACATTAAGCACAATCTTGTATATGGAATCAAATGGAACTTACTCCTAAGTAGAAATATAACCTTGTAAGAAAGCAGTCTACAAGTACCACTGTATGGTAAGAGACTCAATTTCTCAATTCCTGGATAGATCAATGTAGTTTTCTTGGCAACAATACAGAACTGGTTTGCTTTCTCATAGGGTGTTTTGACTTCCCAGTTTAGCCTAGAGCCCTGGTTGTAGTTTTCCATCCAATTACTGAAAAGTTCTGACTATTTTTAAGATTTTTCCCCCCATCAGGATCAGCCATAGTCAGATAGGTGCCTTTCACTGCTATTTCTACTGTACTATAAGCTGTTTATCAAAGGGAATTCATGAAATCAGTCTGGCTCATTATTTCAAATTACAGTGCACAACTCAATTTAAGTAGTCTTTTCTCTGAAAATTGGTTAACCCAGACTTTCTATTATCATTTGTTTCAAACTAATTACAATAACAAAGCACTTCTGTACAATTCTGTTTATATTCAATAGGTTTATTGAAACTCCTTTTTCTATTGAAAATAAACATCCATTTTCATATACAATGACTTCTAATTCTGTAACATATAATTCTTCCCCTGGCATGCCAAAATGCATTTAGAACAGATTTTTAGGGACTCTAGAAAATGAGGTATTTGTTCTGCGTACAGACTACATCTCTTATATACAACCCAGAAATGCAAGAACATGATCTAACCCCAAAGTTTTAACTGTAAACAGCCTCAAAAATGCAGGAACATTTGTGGAATATAATAGAAATAACCATACATTTTGTTAGCCATTACAAGCTATATTAAACTCTGCCGAATTAATATTTAATAGAGCTAGCTAATTCCAACTTAAGCTGAACTGTTTTTTCTCAAGCTCTTTATTGCTATTAAATCAACTAAGTCAATTTTTGCTTATTTCAGAAAGGTGAGTGAACCTTGGAGCAGAATAAGTGTTAAATATTTCCAAGTATACCATTACCAAACTAAAATGATTTTTAGTGAAGTGAAAAATGTTTTTCCTTTCCTCATTAATAATCACTGGACTGAAACAGATGTAATGGCAACTACGGTTAAAACACTTATCAGTATAAATTGTTCTACAAATACCTCATCACATATAAATCTGGTTATAATCTGAACAAATGCAATCTTGCTGTTAGTATATTAGTGATCTGTAGTACTGTATGGGCAGAGGCACCACCAATGTACTAACTCTACATACAAATGGCTTGATCAATACAATAACTGCATTTCTACATGAAGGGGCATACAACTAATTCTTACAACAGCAGTTTATTCATAGCCAACATTTCTATATTGGCCTTCAGAAAAATATTTCTCAGCTGAATTGTGGCAGGCATTACATATAAGTCTGCCTTGCATTATACTGGGTCATCACTGCATGTAGTACATTCACTGCAATCTAACACATCATTGAAGGTACTTCTAAGCAACCTGTAGAATGAACAAAAATATTCTGTGTCTGATCTACATATGTATTCCAGCCTTCCCCAATTTGGGTCCTCTCCAAATGTATTTGGCTACAATTCCCATTTCCACTAATTACTGGATATGTTGAAAAAGATGGTTTATAATTCAACAGATGAGGAAATCATTTTGAAAAGTGATGTTCCATGTGAAAAATAACCAGTCACATCTCAAGCTTTATACAACTTTTGTCTGCACAGTGGCAAAACTATCAAGTAAAATACCAACATTAAAAATCCAGTTCGGAAAAGCATATAAAAACAATAAAATCTACGGTCAGTTTAAGGTTTTAAAATCTTCTAAGCTTTCCTCTAGAATCACGTTAACCTCCTAATAAAATATAGCAACATAACCTAAAAGTATTTTTTTTAATTGAAATCAATTGTGAAGGCATTAAACAAAATATTGTCAAAATTAAACCGTTTTTTGCAAGCTAAGGAGATCCTAAATAACATAGGCATGTGATGTGCAGCCCAATTCAACCCACTTTCCCAAAATACTGACACCTAGTCCCATGCATAGATTTCCAGACTAAAGCTTTATAACTTTTAGACAAGCACGCAGACACGTGCATTTACATCTATACCTCAAGCTTCTTAGTTAGACAGACTAATAATTAAGAAATTGAAGGCGTCCTTGGAACTGTTCTGCAAGCGAAGAACATACTGTTTTAGGCCTTCCTCCACTTATGGGCGTCTAGGTAAAGAAATCAGTATTTTCCCGAAAACAAAGGTTGCCTGTCTAAAATAAGCCTTCGGAAGGATCGAAGGCAACACGGCGGGGGCGGACGAGCGAAAGCAAGATGCTACAGGCGTGGCGGTGTCGGACCCCCACGACAGGAATGCCGCAAGGGGCGTGGGGCCCGATCCCCGATGCACAGCTGGTAAAACGATGGCCTTCGAAATCTTTTCTTCGTTCTTTCCTGGGCAGAACTGCGGGTCCCTCTTAAGGCTGGAGCTGGCAGCGGCTCGCGCGGGAAGAGGAGAAGGAGGCCACCACTCACCTCCCGCCGATGGCGGTGGCGCCAAGGCGTCGTGTCCTGAGCGCTCCAGATACTTCCAAGCAGGGGCTCTCCTGTCGCATCAATAAACTAGAACCACCGCCCTGAAACGGTCACCAAAGCCGCCACATACGCTTCCCGCCCGCTCTTTATTTGCTGGTTCGCTGCGCTACAAAATGGCGCCCGAGAGGGAAATGAGAAGAGCCGCCTCGCCCCTTCCTTGCCTCCCGCCTCGTCCCAGCGAGAAGGTAGCGCGCCGCAGCGCGGAGCCAACCGCTGCCACTCAATTCCCCGGCCCCTCCCCCACTTCCTCCACTCGACTGCCACCAGCCGCGCGCCCACTCTCTCTCTCCCTCCCTCGCTCGCGCCTCCTATTCACACTTACCGGCCCAGCCAGCCAACCAGCCAGCAACTGACTCCGCAGCAGCCGCGGCGGCGCTCGCTTAGCGCCGGGACTACACTTCTCTGCCGCTTCTTTCGCCCCCTCCCTCCGTCGCGCGCGGGCACTGTTTCCTTCTTTTGCTCTCTATGGGAATAAACAGCCGTTGCGCGGAAAAAGGGACAGAATAATTAATATTTTCGGAGGTGGGTGGGTAAGAAGATGCGAAATGCCCAAATCAGTCTAGTCCCCCGTCTGTCAGGGTGCGCAGTTGCAAAGCATGATGGGAAGGAAGGGGGTTGGCGGAAGGATTCGAAATCGCACTCTATAACCACCTGCAAGAGTGAGGCCGCTTTGGCGGAAGGAGACTTGACAGAGGAGAAAAAGAAAAGAGCCTCGAATCTCCATTTCTGTTTTTCGAACTGCATGTTTCCTTGCGGATTCTGCAAAATGATTAAATCGGTTGTGGCTCGGCTCTCGAAGGTCCAGTTCAGTTTTGCGCAGAACTACCTAAAATAATTGTCTGAAACGGGTTTAAAGATTGCTTCTTCCTGCGTACGACTGTTCCTTTTGCTATGTTATAGATTAGTTTGCAGTTGAGAATTTTGCATCTTTTTGTAGTTGTGCAACAATCAGCCGGAAAACTATCAGTGAAGTGTTTCAGGAATGATCAACTTGTTCGCATGATTCATTACTAACAAAATGTTTTTCCACAGGATATGGTGGCCAGTACTGTATGAATAGTTTGAGTAACGTGGAAGAGCCACGATTGACTGGGCTCATAATGCTAAGGCATAAATCATGTTTCTCAAACATGAACGGCTACTAAGTAACGTAGTAAGCCAAGGGGTTTCGAGAGGTGGGTTTTGACCCCCCGGGTTGCAAACAACTTGCAGGAGGGGTCGTAATTGTGGGTATGCGTGTGTGTGTGTGTGTGTGTGTTTAAATTGATGTGGCTTGGGTAGGCAAAGCAGCGGTGCTGTCGGAGCTCCTGCTTTGCTGGGGAAGCCTGAAGCACCGGTTGGGATACAGCAAAGGTTGAGATTTTCTATAATCCTACATAGATTAAAATGTAATTGTTAAAGCTAAGTGTTATAAACCCAGTGAAATGGGGGGGGGGTTGCAAGGAAGGTTGCACATATTCATTTTATCATTTCAAGTGATGAAGACACAACAACATTTAAGAAGCCCCCTGCAGTGTACCATGTAATTCATGTTATGACTTCTGACAGGAGAATCAGTCCAAATCATTCAGTTCTCCAAATTGATTGGTTCCTAATGCTTTCAGTGCAGTCATATACAGAAACACCCAAAAGTAAATCCCATGGAGCTAAAATTAAGGTTCTTCCCAAATAGGGTTACATGATGTGAAATACAAATATCCAAAAAACCATTAATTGGCAATGAAGAGGTGTTTTTTGTGTCTTCTTTTCCTTGTTATCTAATGACTGTCCAGATTTTTATATTTTAGATCTGGTAGCCCTGTTCCCAGCTGAGTATAGTATAAGACTGCAGCATTGCTCTCTGCAAACAAGCAAGGATACAGTATTCCCTTTTTTAAACAAGTCAATCAATTTATTTTCCCCTATTTATACACACATTTTTTCTTGCAAGTTCTGAGCCCCAAGTTGTTTCTATAATCAAACAAGTATATGTGTGTATATGTGTGTGTGTGTGTGTGTATATATGTATATAGGCTATAAAGAGCAAGCTTTTTGAAATTTATGTACTTATGAATTAAAATTAATTTTACAAGTATAGTATCTCCCTACCTAGATAGTATAAATGCTATATGTGACAGTAAATTAATCCATTTAATTGCTTAGCCAATTGAAATTGGAAGCTTGTTCAATCCATTACTTAAATTGGCTTAATTTATTAGTAGTTATTTCCAAGTAAGCAGTCAATAGCTTGGTTTACATATACTGTAATGGCTAAGCTATAATGAGTGTGATGTAGTTTATAGCATAGTGTGTGAACTAATCCAATGTAGCTTGCAAACCATGGTTTATGTTTTAGGCATTTCCCTGTAACCAGTGTTTTCCATCATTTGCCCCACTTATCCATGAAGTGGCAGGAAACTACACTGAATTGAAATTGGCTGTCCTCATTGCTCATCCCTATTCTGTTTTTCTTCCCTCTGACCCCAGTCATTACTAATTGCCTGATGTTCCTTCCAAGGTAATAGATGACAAAGCCAAGCAGATGTTATGCATCTTGAGGCTGCCCTTGGACTGTGTCAGAATGAGGAGGAAAATACTGCTTTAATACCATTACAGCAAACCACAGCTTTAACTTGTCTCACTTATGGCGGGAATGAGATAAAGGCAGTGCTATGGGGACACAGCAAGAATGGAAAGGTGTTGCTAATGCATGTTTGTGACATAATTATGTCCAAGTAGGAACATAACCTTAGCATTATGTGGCTTGGCATTATGTGTGAACCCAGTCATTGTATTGTGCTATAAAATTGCAGTCCTTTGCAATTACTGGAGGGTAATCAACTTCCTTAATTTCAGGCCAAACAGAACCATAGTATGAAATGCATTACCTGAGGTGCTATAATTTTTAGATTATTTATAATTATTGAAGGGGATTTTCATTGGGAATGCAATGTATGCTCTTAACAGAATTTGCCTCCCTTTAGTTGCCACCTGTAATTGTGTCTACAGAAAATGCTACTAAACTATTCTTATAATAACTTTATTAGAATTTGTAAAAAGAATAAAAACTAACAAAAACATATTAAGAAAAGAATATAGAAATAAAATTTAGAAATAAAGAGATATAAAAGATTAAAAAGTGTGAAAGACAAAAAAGAGCTACTAAACTTCAATATACAATACAGTACTGTATAGAATTCAGCAGAAGTGATGTCCGGTAAGGGAAGGAATTTTAATAAAAAGCTACACGATAACATAAAGGTTTGGTTGAGTGTAGAACTCTCAGCCAATCTTAAATAGGATTTCTGCATGAAATTAGCTGATTACCTTAAGCCAACATTCTAGTTCAATCAGGCAGGTTAATGGGAACATGTACAATGCTGTCTTACCCTCAACCCATACAGACTTCTGTAGCTATCTTGTAGTTCACTGTGTGATTGGAATCTGGCTGTACAATCTGTTATTAGAACTGTTGAAATAAATCAATTAGTTATTTTTTCTAGCTTTACTGAAAAGCTGTTTTCAATTTATAATATCTATTCATAGATGGCTGGAGCTTCTTGCAATGATGAAAAATTTGCCATGCAGGACCTTATAGGTGACAATCAGCACCTTGAATTGTACTCAGAAATATGCTGTTAACCAGGGCAGCTTGCACAGCAATTGATGGCATACTGAAGTGCTCCTATAACCACCCGCGCTGTCCCATTCTGGAACAGCAGGGAGATAGTAGGCTTCCCTGTGCAGTTGATTGGCCACTGTGAAAAAGATTGCTGGACTAGATGGGCCAGCGGTCCAATCCAGCATGGAACTTCTTATGTTCTTAGCTGCAGCTTCCCAGTAGTCTTCAAGGACAGCCCCATGTGCAGTGTGTTGCAGTAATCCAAATAGGCATAACAGACAGTGAGCAGAGCCTCCCAATCTAGCAGTGGGTGCAACTGGTGCACAAGATGTAGTTGTGCAAAGCCCCTAGGAGCTATGGCTACCACCTGAACTCTAAGCAGGATCTGAGAGTCTAGGACAGGCCTGCACAACATATGGCCTGCGGGCCACTTGTGGCCCACCAAAGGATTTCATGCGGCCCGCATCACTCGTGAGCGTGAGGTCTGAAAATGCAGTATGTTTTTTTTTAAAATAAAGTTTCTGCAATGAACTGTCGCAGGGGTGATTTCCAGGAAATAACCAATCAGCACTCAGCCTATGAGTGCTGACACGTTATGACAGCGACGAGGGCGGCAAAATTACTCATCGAAGCAAATCTGGGAGAACGGCCATTTTGATAATTGTAAATTTTACAAGACTAATACCTTTGTAAAATGGATGATCAAAAGAAGCGGAAGATCAAATCAGAACCTAGAGTGTTTAAACCAGAGTGGACAAATAGATACTTGTTTACATACACTAGAGACAAAATATTGTGCCTTGTTTGCCGAGACATCATGGCCGTTCCTAAGGAATACAATCTGTGTCGCCATTTCAAATCAAAACATCCTGACTTAGCT